ACAATTGTCAAGATGATCCGGAATTTCCAGAGAAATAGTAGTCTCAGATACTCGGATAGAAATAAGCATGTATACCTCCAATATTAATAATATGAATATTTAATCTATCGTCATAGGAAAATATTAGCTATTGATTTTGTTTACGAATTCAATGTCACTAGTCAGGTAGATCATTTACTTGATGTTTGGGAAAAGGTCATATGCAAAGTGCAGATATACATAACATAGAATCATTGATAGTGGTTTAGAAACAACACAAAGTAGGTATGTCGTACACCATTCCTCTAAGAGAATACGACAAATGTATACAATACAGATTTCGTCTAAATATTAATCATATATACAATGGCCTGGAATGTGGAGATGTATTAATAGTCATTACTTAGTTCCTTTAGTGAATTCAGACTAATTTAGGACATATTATTTAAGTCCAAATAAATCAAACCACCAAGAACTAAAATTTAAAGACAACATTAAAAATGTTTTCTTCTTGGATGCTAAACTAGGAATGAGCTATGATCTAGTAAACAACATTGATATAAAAAGTTAAGACGCTTTAATAGTTTGGATATGGATCAGTTTTAAAACAATCCAAATTGTCAACAAGATCACGAATTTCCCTGCGCAAGCTTATGTCCTACACTCAGATACATATGAACTTGTTTACTTTAAATAATTCTGATCTGTATATTTAATCTTCAATCACAGAGTAATATTAGGTTGTTTACAAAATGATTGTTACTAGTCATGTAGATCCATAACTTGATTTTGTACAAAAGTCAGCCACAAAATATAGATAGACATAACATAACGATATAGATTAAATATACATACCATAATGTTGACTATAACAGGAAAAGTACAATTAATTTAACAAGTTTTCGAATATATCTTTTTAATTGACCAAATGGATCATATTATACAGTATGAAGGTTATTCGATTTTAATGCAATGATTAGCATTTAATTATGTTAATAAAAAAGAGTTTCTAAATTGTTTGTTTTTATTCGATAAAGGATACAAAATAAATTGTCTATATATAGTCACTTGCCCACCAGTTAGTATTATACTTACAACAGTGGTAAAGGAAAACAGCCGCGCACTTTATTTCAAAAGTAAATATTAGAGCAGCGGTAGGAGACTGCTATTTGTAATGCATATAAATAAATTGCTCATTATTTAACAAATTTCCCCATGCTAATTCCATTATTTCTAACAAGGCAATATTCTTTGCATATTTCTTTCTCGTTTTACAGATTTTTGATGAATAACAAATTATTGTTTATGCAAAGGTTTGAAATTCAAAATAAAAACAACTGAATTAGGAGCTTAAATCAACTGTAAATGAAAACATTTTGTGCTAAAAGTCCACTATTTTCTGAAGCTGATAATATATTTCATTCGTTATCATTCATGGTTGTGTGTATGAGAGAGAGAGAGAGAGAGAGAGAGAGAGAGAGAGAGAGAGAGAGAGAGAGAGAGAGAGAGAGAGAGAGAGAGAGAGAGAGAGAGAGAGAGAGAGAGAGAGAGAGAGAGAGAGAGAGAGAGAGAGACTCTATATGAAAAGCCGCACATATGTGAATTGGCTGCGACTGCTCCTTTGCAGTCTGTTTTTTTTTAACCTCTTCAGAAGCTGATAATATATTTCATTCGCTATCATTCATGGTTGTGTGTATGAGAGAGAGAGAGAGAGAGAGAGAGAGAGAGAGAGAGAGAGAGAGAGAGAGAGAGAGAGAGAGAGAGAGAGAGAGAGAGACTATATGAAAAGCCGCACATATGTGAATTGGCTGCGACTGCTCCTTTGCAGTCTGTTGTTTTTTTTTAACCTCTTCAGTGTGAAATAGTTGGATTCTGAATTGTTATGGTCAATTTTAAATTTAAAGTAGGCTCGTGTGTTGTATAGATTTAGGTTAATAACCTCTTGGTCAATAGCACCCAGCCAAAAATCTCCTATGATAAAAAGACCGCGGATAATACCTACTTCATTGACAATAATCCCTGGCAATCCGCCACCGGCCAAAAAATCCTCCAAAATAAAACAACCAAATGATCTTATTATATTGGTAAAATAATGAATCTACACTTAATTGATTCACAGCACAGTTATTATTAATATTACATTTGCCTTTAAACTTTGAATGGGAAAACGGTTAACCAGAAAAACATTCAAGCCAAGAAATTTCACATGCTATTATTGTTTAGAATATTAATTTGTTTTGGTTTGCATTGCTCATTATGTATGTTACCTATTAACCTAGGTCTTTGCATATTTTTCCCCAATCTATTGGAATTTAAATATTATATTACTTTGTACTATGATTATCTTTCTAGAACGTGTAATTGAACCAGTTAATAGTTGAATGATCATCGTAGCTAATCCGATACACAAATTACTGTAGTTGTTTATAGTTATTTATTTTCATGTATATTTTATATCTAAGTATGACATATTTGTCTAATTTGTCATAGTTTCGTACCTCTGATAAGTTTTGCTTACAAGGCCTTGCTGTACTAATGTATGAAAATTGGCATCTATGTCGGATAACATGCAGTTATATATATATATATATATATATATATATATATATATATATATATATATATAAATATATATATATATATATATATATATATATATATATATATATATATATATATATATATATATATATATATATATATATATATATATATCTATATCTATCTATCTATCTATCTATCTATCTATCTATCTATCTATCTATCTATCTATCTATCTATATATATATATATATATATATATATATATATATATATATATATATATCTATATATATCTATATATATATCTATATATATATATCTATATATATATATATATATCTATATATCTATATATATATATACATTTATATCTATATATATATATATCTATCTATATATCTATATATATATATATATATATATATATATATATATATATATATATATATATATATATATATATATATATATATATATATATATATATATATATATATATATATTGGTGATAGTGTGTTTCTTACCACATACCACTAACTGGATATCACTTTATATACGCGACGAGTGTATCGCCTAATAGGGTTTAGTTTAAGGGAGACAACTTATTCAATCGTGAAATCATTCCACGAAGAGGATATCTCCCTTGAAAATGTGATACACCAATACTTCGGTAATCATCATCCATCGTTTTCAAATTAAACATTCAAGCCTACGATTATCGATTTCAATATTCAAGGGAACCATTGAATCTTTTCCCCAATTTATTTATTCATATGCTTATTATAGCCTAGTTTTTTAGTTCATTAACACAAGCAAGGAATATTTTTTCTTGCAAATTTGTGATAACAATTAACTCGTTAGCCTCTAAGGAGTTTTTTGTTTTATTTCCGCCTTAAATGGGACAGGAAACGCGTTTTTAATGGGATTACTTCTGAATGCATCCAAATATATCTGCTTCTTATCGATTTTAGTTGAGCCGGAGGTCTATGTGTGTAATTATTTGTTTTCGATTGGCTTTTGAGCTTAATAAATTCAATACAAGACTTGAACCGATTTCCCTTATCGAGGCAGTGAAGTTTCCTGATTATGTGATTTATAGTCATATATTTTATCTACATTTTACATCGTGACTTAAAGTGTCATGAGCGTAATTGAAGGTCTGACTGACATCACTTTAGCCAGTTTATTTGTAATTTACAATAAAGTCTTTAGACATAAAGTAGTGGCTAGTGCTTGTTGTTTTAAAGGTGTCAGATAAATGATGTATTATGCGGCAAAACAATATTACACCGCGTTGCCAATTGTTTTAAGTCGACAATAACAATGACTGAGGGTGTTTTCGATAAATCACATAAATAACATGTTGTCTCTTAAGGTAAATTCCTTATTTTGGAGAACGTGTAACAATATATTAGACCATTGTGAAGTGCTTTCATTGTTTGTGTATTTTCCTGAATGTATAGGTTTCTTTTCTAAAAATGAACAATATTACACTCTAATGAGCACAAAATGAATGCTTAATATTTGTCTGAATTCAATACGAAACTTGAAACAACGAATATCCGATCTTAGTCAAATTTTCCTTTTCAAGACATTGAAGAATTCTCATGAATCGTGAAGTTTCTGATTATGTGATTTATAGTCATATATTTTATCTACATTTTACGTCGTGATTTAAAGTGTCATGTGTGTATTTGAAGGTCTGACTGATATCAATTCAACCAGTTTATTTGCAATTTACAATAAAGTCTTTAGAAATAAAGTAGTGACTAGTGCTTGTTGTTTTAAAGATGTTAGAGAAATGACGTATTCTATTACACCGCGTTGCCATTTGTTTTAAGTCGACAATAACAATGATGGAGGTTGTTTTCTGTAAATCACATAAATTATGTGTTAAGGTTAATTTCTTATTTTGGAGAATGTGTAACAATATATTAGACAATTGTGAAGTGCTTTCATGGTTTGTTTTGTTCCGGAATGTATATATTTCTTTTCTAAAAAGATCAACATTGCACTCTAATGAGCACAAAATGAATGCTTAATTTTTGTCTGATCTAACACCTGTTGTCTTGAAGAAAGAAAACTCTTTAAGGTCCGGATCCTGCTTTATATTCTTTGAATACATTTACAGATCATTTCTGCACTTTATATCGAAAGGAGCAAAAAATTCTGGCCACAAACTGATGTCACTTAATACATAAGGACAGAATGAAGCTCGAACATACATGTATATCTAACTATCGATCTCAGTTTTTGTAAAATAAATATTATCATCTGCCCATTTCCCCTTCGATGCTATTCGTCTTTAATTTATTTGTCAACACTTAGATATTTTGTACTTATTTGGATTGTTTTGAAATAATCTCAACATTGGAACTTTAGCTATAGTTTTATCTTTGTGCCTGTCTATTGTCAAAACAAGCAGAAAAAAGTCACAAGGCAAATGCATAACAAAAACATACAATAATTTTAAAACCGACCGCTCTGGTGGCATAGTAGTTAGAGCGTCCGCCTCAGATGCGTGGAGGTCATGGGTTCGATCCCCGGTCGAGTCATACCAAAGACTTACAAAAATGGTACTAATAGCTGCCTCGCTTGACGCTCAGCATTAAGAGGTTAGTGTTAGGACTGGTCGGCCTGGTGTAAGGATAATGTGACTGGGTGGGACATCATGGTATATGTCTGCAGCATGATGCTCTAGTGCTAGACATCACAATAAACTGCCACAATGCAGATATCGTAGCGATATGACTCAACAATTGTTGAAGCTACATTAAAAATCATAATCACATAATCGCAATTTAAAACCGCTATCCCTCTACTCTCTGGGCTTGTGTAACGGTAGATATGACGGTATATAAGTGTGTACACAAAGGTATACATCCACACGAGGTTACCTATTCCTTGATTGTTTGCATGCTGTTGGTGTTGTTGTTGGGCTTAACGCCATTTTTCAGCACACGATAGGCTATTCATGGCGGCCAGTATTAATGGTGAAGGAAGAAGCCGGGAAATCACCGGAAAGAAACACCGACCCACGATAAGCTACTGGCAAGCTTTCTCACTTATCACATTCGCCGAATCCTAGACTCTAACACGCGCAGACAGAGGTGAGATGGCAGTGATCCGAAACGGACAGCGCTTTAGACCACTCTGCCACTCGGGGCCCCTACATGCTGTTGGTGAGCAAGGAGTTGTTTTGAATTGCATAACAAAGCTCGTAGCAATTAGTCATGTTTTTGTTCATGTTGCATCCTACTGTTACTTTTCTGTTTCAATTTTCATTTATGACTCGGTTCCCATCAAAAACGTTTTCGATTGTATATATGTATGTTAGTATGTATGTAGATTTACGCGGACGTTGCTAGTAAAATCATTTGATCCCACTTAAATTCTCAGCGTGTGAACGTTGTACAAAAACAGAAAGTCCCATTTTTAATGAAAAAATTTGAACGTAGAAAAAACCGTTATCTAAAAGCGGAAAGTCAATGATACGTAACAAAAAGAAAAATATGTTGTATGTTACAAACGGAGATTGGCCTTCTGAGTTTCTTACAGACATAAGTAAAGCAAACGAAGATAAAATTGGAGAGAAAGAATATATTTAAGAATAGGAAGCAGCTGCATGACCCACTATATTTAAGAAATTGAAAGTAACTGACTATCAAAAACAAACGAACTCTGCAAAATGATTGAAAGGTCTTCCTGAATTTATTCTAAGAGAATAACAGAAGAACATAGTGTCTAAAATTGTCTTTTAGTATTACCAATACAGGGATATATTCATTGGCAATTTTGTATCTATTTATTATTGTATTAGATTCTAATGTAGTCGCAAACGATTTACTATTTTGCATTATCCACTTTGTTCAGAATATGCTGCACATAATCATAAAACACTGATTGAAATCGGACTAACATAAATGCTGCTTTTGTGATAATAAATTGGTAAACCTTATTGATATAAGAGAGTGTGAACACTGGTCTGCTATGGTGACATTTAAATAGCATTGCTCCTTGGAGACAAGCTAGCATAATTGTTTATTTAAAGTTCGAAATGGAAACAAATAGTGTCATTTCTTTATAGATATAATACTGCAATTGTATAATGAGAAAGTTTGTATCTATATAAATTGAGAAGCAGCTAACTCTCTACGGAATAAGCAATAAATCAGAAAAAATATACTTATCGATTCGAATAAATTCCAATATTTTCATCGATTTTAGGACAAAGCACACATCCGAAGTATATATCAAACTTTTGCGCGGATCCAGGATGCACGAGAGACAAACCATTCATTCACCATTTTGGTCAACTGTTTATTCACACGTATGCATTAAAAAAGCAATCAAATAAATGTCTGATAAAATCGAAAGCACATTTCAACTATATGTACATGAATACGTAAAATAGTGAAATATATTTAAAACTTCTTAATTGATCAATCAAAACATTTTAGTATATATCTCATATTTTTCCTAAACTGCATAACTGTTGATAAGTTGAAGAAATAATGTCTCAAGAAGATAATAGATCTTAATAATATTTCATAGATGTCGTCTACGAAACAATATATAAACCTGCATGCTGTTTTTCTTGTTTTTATAAAGTTATCTTTGTGCTATGCTCAACGATTCAAAGCTAAATATGTATACGTCTGCTAAACTGTAATGAATGCATTCATCAAACATACGGGGAAGGGGTGGTCGGACCATATCAAGTCTTGAACGAAGTATCCTGCATGTCTCATACAATGTAAAAGGCATAATGACGCATTACATTACATATGGTCGCGCTTAAACCGCATTCGATAAGATTCTGTATGTAACAGGTCAAACAATCACCAGATAGGTTTTATATATATATATATATATATATATATATATATATATATATATATATATATATATATATATATATATATATATATATATATATATATATATATATATAATCACCAGGCCATCTGACTTAATAACTTACTAGAGCTATTTATCTTTAGTTACAATTTAAATTCTAAGAGAATCGCTACCCCCAGACAATGCAGAAAGACATGCTTAACCTATATGAATGGAAGTGTTTTTTGATCGTTAAATAATGTCAAGATATTGTGCCAATAGTGATATACAATTTATTTCAATCACTTATCATGCGTTATGTATCAGTGAGGTTTTGAAGGACTCCTAATAAAATAATTCTATAATTTTTGTTCACAGTCTTTGATGCAGTGTACATCAACATGCCGTTTGTACCCAGAGAAAAATACAAGTCTCTGACACTTATGAAAGATCCATTTAGTGGCAATGCAACTTGGATTCGTATAAAACATGGAGAAATAGACTTTAGCTATTTTTCTCTACATGCTGTGTGTAAACGAAATGTCTTGTCTGAGTCTTGTACATTTCCTAAACAAAGCAAAAGATAAATTACTGGCCATAAGCAGCGTCTTACGATGAAGAAAAATAGATGTTGTACACATTTGTTCATGTATATTGTGATTAATAATAATTATTAATAATGACAATATTGCAAATATTTTTATGATCACATATACTTTTGTACATGATTCACACACACACATACATACATACATACATACATACATACATACATACATACATACATACATACATACATACATATACATACATATATATATATATATATATATATATATATATATATATATATATGTATGTATATGTATATATATATATATATATATATATATATATATATATATATATGTATATATACCATCTGAGCTGTCTAAAATGAATTAAACATGTGGCACAATTTTATTAAAATTGTCTTTTTTTACCTCTTTTTGTTTCTCTCTATGCATGGGGTGTGAGTGAATAAAGAACTTGAACTAGCACCACGTAAACTACCATTACTTGCATCTTCATAAGGGTTAATTTTGTATGTTGCAAAGATGTTAATATTGTTCACAATACCAATGATACAAAGTGGCAATAATCTGTCAAGAGTACCTGTTTAGGATAGGAGGAAAACACATACCGTAATGCATTTAATATTGTATTGGTCTTAATTTCTTTCTTACTATTTATTTAAATATATAAATAAGGGTCTGCAAAAACAGATATATAATATAAAAATGTAAGAAGGCTGCTCGACCCTATTCTTTTTAGGTTGTATATTGTAGCATAGAGTCTGTATGTGAATTACGAATTCTTTCAAAACATACTTATTACGAATAATAGAAAATAATTTATGTGGTATCAGTGACGCAATGGTAATGTTGCAACCATAATTACCATATTCAATTAAAGAACGTTCATTTTTTACAGATATGACAGAATCGATACCTGATATTATCAGGTTTTGGTGGTACTGAAGCATTTCAGTCTGGACACAATATGGCTTATTAGCAATGGAGGATTTAAATAAACTCTGCAATGATTAAATATAATGAACAAGGCATCCAAAATTTGTCATCATATTTTTCACTTGATATTAGATTATACTCTAAGCTAAAACGCATTGTTGCAGCAGTTAGATAAACAATATTATGAGTTGCACGAAAAAGCTTGGGTTATACTACTATCTCTTCATTTCTATAATTAATTGCTGCTTTCACATGGATTCTCAGCCATATTCACATTCCACAATAATAAATAAGACTTGAAAACGTCTCTCTCAGTATATATGTAAGCATGCTTAAATGCATATGTATTACAAAATGGATCGGTCAATCAGTCGGTTTATTCTCCAGTAGTTAATTAAATACGATGTGCAGGTTATATAGAATAATTCAACATATATGTATCAAAAGTAAATTAAACAATATGCAATACATTTGCTGATATGTTTTCTCTCATCTATTCGAAATGCAGTTGACACACTCATATTTCGATCAATTAATGAGCAACCTTATTTTACCTAGTAGAAAAAGTTCTTTACTCGGTCATGCGGAATTGACATTGTGACATTGTTCCTTATAAGTCTAGTCTTGTGATAAGAAAATAGTTTTCAACAAATCTAGAACTTAAGTAAATTACGTTATACACAAAATAGTACGACACGTTTCCAGATTAAACACGACTGAAACATATATGACGGAATATATTATTTAATTGTCCTTTCATTGCACACTAGAGTTTAGCATGTAGAGAGTGAGCAATTAACCAGAAAATAGAATATGTATATATATATGTTCTTAAATTTTTGTGACTGGGCTCTTTAGCCTTTGTAGGCAGAAGGCAAACTTTGAATCCAAACTCAGACAGATAGAGCTCGTTAGCAATTCGTCTAGGAGAAGAAATCTCTGATTCCAAACCCAGGAAGTGCCATGGAATGAAAACAGTCCCTGGGTCAACGGACTCGCCGAACATTAATTATATATGGCCAACTATTTAAACTTCTCAGGAAAATGGGCTGGGACCCCCTCCCACCCGAAATTCTGCAGCATGATAAATCATCTTCCATGCCGATATGAAGAGAAGAGTCCTGTATGATGGATCCTCCTAAGAATCCTTTCCCATTAACAGCGACGTGAAGCTGGGATGCGTGCTGGCACCGACCATTTTTGGG